AACTTGCTCCTGGAACGAATTAAGTTCGTTGTGTGAGGCACCACTGTACTGATATAATATTATTTCTACATTAACTACCAAAAGCGAAATTAACTGTCGAAATTTCAATTAAAAGTTTTCGTGTCGTGTCGTGTCAATTACAATTTAAAATAAACTAATAATTGCTGCGCTCAAATCGAAATCGTAACTTAATTGCGAAACGTATCTAAGAAATACTAACTAAGCGTTGATATTAGATGTATGTGAGTGGAGGAGGAAGAAAAGAAAATTTCAGGGAATTGCCGTAAATCGGAGTGCGCTCGTTGAATATGTTTATGTGTGAGAGCACTTGTTGAAGACGACCATGTGTGTAATAAAGAGGGACCTGAACCAAGTGCATTAAAACAGTGCTTGCTCGTGGAGGACTCAAAGTATGCAGAGGAGGTCGGGTCCTCCGTCCCCTCCCCATCGTTTCTGTAACATCTATTTTATTCTGGTGCTGCTGCTGACACTGGATTTCTTTCCATCGAAACGCGCGTCGTTGTTCCATCGAACAATAAGGCATAACTGGACGAAACTGTTGTGTTGTTACTGTTACCGTTTCGCGTCCGTTCACATTGCATACGCTTTTCTCTCTTCTTCGATTGAACCGTATCCACAAGCTAATGTTGAAATTACGCTGTTAGATTTACGAATTAAAGAGAGCAAATAACAGCAACAATTGAGCAACATCGAAATGCACACCGTATAAACGTAGTCGAAGGCGAGATTAGTGACGTTAAAGCTAAGATAATTCAACAACAATTGAATACTTTCATATCTATCGGAAACGTAATTAGCAGATGTCTATTTACAATTTGATTATTATTGAACTCGATGGATGGAATGTTTAACTTAGTAATTATTGAGTAATGATGATTTTGAAAGTATTCAATTGTAGCCTACATTGTTTTGGAATGTATTTAGAAGTTTATGGGGGGTTGATGAGATGGTAAAGCAAAAGAATTGAAGAAATCGTTTTCTGCGTCACGTAATTAGTTGGTTATAAGGAAATGAGCTCGGATGGAATTACAGTTTCTTGAACGCAGTTTCTTCTGTAGGAAGTGCGAGTTTATAAATCGTAAATCATATCACATGGAGAGAAGCGCGAGGAGCACTTGTTGAGATAGTGTGCTGGTGCGAGAGATGGAGAAAGAGCGAGAGAGAAAGCCGGATAAAGAGATGGACGGATGAAAAGTTGTTGATGTTTCTGGTTTTCGTGCGTAACAGTATGAAATGATTTCCTGAGAGCCCGTCCGTCCGTCCGTCTCCCTCGGAATGGGTTTGTCGTACAAGATTAAAAAAAAAACCCTGAAGGGATGGATGTCGTTAGGAGGGTGAAGAATGTGCAAAAGGGAGTGAACGAGGGAGAGAGAGTGAGATAGAGGAGGGACACACACAGGGTATGTGTGCGTGTGTACGTGAGCAACGAACGATCCTAGGCGGCGTGAAATATTATAGGTGCAGTAAATGCGTCGTTATGAAAGAGCAGGATGAGGGGGTGAAGTGTATGAAGAGAGTAGGCGATGGTGCAGTAGTATGAAAGCAGCCCCATCGTTCTAATAAACTAATTCTACTTCTACGCTAAGCGGTAAACAGTGATAAATCTTCAGGTATCGCACCTGTCCACGACAGCTTGCCTCTTCGGTGGTATAACCTCGGGATGCAGCGGCGACAAACCCGGCTGTTGGGGGGCTACAGGGGGCACTCCACCCTCTAAACAACCCCCCTGGCCGGAGCCTCCTCGCTCCAGCGTGAAATCCTCGCAAGCACCACTCTTACATCGCGCGACGCCTTCGGAGCGCTCTTCTCGCTGGCTTCGTCAGGACGCGTGGTGGATCACTTCGCTGCTGCTGCTGCTGCCGGTCTTCTGCAGGTCTTCGGCGAAGCTGCTAACCTCCGTCGACAAACTCGGCGCAAGCAAACAATTATACTACCATCTCTTTCTCCTGCTGCGTGTCCAAGTGCACGTTCGCATGGTCCCCATTCGAAACGCGCCTCGCCATCGAGGAGGAACTACTTCAAAACAAATCCTCGCAAAACAGAAACTCCACCGCGCACTATATTCCTCGCGCGTCGACAAGTTCCAATTCAAAAAAAAAAAGAAAGAAGAAAAATCAAAAGTCCATGTATCGCGCGGATGAAAAAACGTAAACAAGAAGCATCGTCGTCGACGTTTGTTGTCCTCTTCCGCTGCTGCGTCGTTGCTTGGTTGCGGCGCGTTCGTAGTTTGTTTCCGAATGTCAACAAGTCCAGCGAGAGAAGAGAGGTTAAGATGTTCCTCTCTCTACGGGGAACAATTTCTTTTGATTCCGCTGCTGCTGCTGATGACGACGACGATGTCCACGACTGCACCACATGCACACCACACACACGAACCACACGCACTGGCTTATATTATTACAATTTCTTCTCCTACTCTCCGACCACCAACAACTCAATTCTCGTTCCGCAAGACCGTTTCGTTTACTGACGCAGCGAGCGAGCTCACTTTCGCTGCGACGGCGACTGCGGCCATTTTTCAGATGCCACTGCTGCCACCTGCCACACTTTCGAAGCGTGCGCCACGCCACACGAACCCTCCCGACCGAAAACACGAAAGCGCTTTAGAAGACCAGAGACCAGGCAACCAAACGTGCACCAATTTAAATTTCGAAATCCCTAAACCAGTGTTTCTCCATTTAATAATTAGAATACAGCGAATTAATACTTTAACGCAACTACCCATATCATTTTTATGTATTGATCTTAATAATTATTGCATACGTTAAGTGGTTTATTAATAATAATGTAATGTAGTAAGGTAGAAAATAACTAGGTGTATTTTTTTTGGAAGGGTTTCTTTTTCTTTAATGCAGTCAGTGGACAACAAAAATGTAGTATTTAGAGATGGGGAGGTAAAATTACACGTAACGGTTCGTTTTTTGTGAAGTGGCTATTCATGCGTAGATGTTGCACCTGTGCCGCCACACCGCACGCATCACGACTACCTGAAAAACGAGATTTTTGTGAATTTTCCTTTTTGGCGATCGCGTTTACGAACCAGAGCATTGATTCCACCTCGTACGTCCTTTTGGGGGCGCACAGACCCCGCAACAGCAACCATCATGCCTTCTCGGAGAGGTGATAGTTGCGGCGGAAGCTGTTCGTCATGGTGTAGGCGTGATTGCTGTAGCTGAAAGGTTCGCGACTTCGCGTGCTCAAGTAGATGCTGTCGCCGACGTTCCTTTTCGGCGCTTCCTCTTCCACCATTTCCATACTCTGCTGACGATTCTTCATGTTGTGCCTATGCTTGTAGAGTCTGGTGCAAGCGAGTATCGTGCTCAGGAGAACCACGAACTCGATCAGAACCATCACCAAACCGATGATCAGAAAGATGATGTACTGCTGCTTGAACCAATCTTCTAAATGCAACGAACAACCCTGAAAATATAGCAAAAAAAAAACTTTAATTATCAGCTAAGTTTACTATTTAATATTTACATCAGAGTGTCTGAAACCTTGCTGCTGCTCCACTTCAACCGCTTGACAGAGGCTCGTGTTGATGGGTCTCGGATCCAAATAGGCGGAGGGATGATGAAGGTTGTCCAATTTGCAGCAAGTGAGAGGGACTTTCAGCCGTGGACCCAACGACTCCAAACGCCAACTGGAAGTGTCGTACTCGCCGCCACTCGTGATGCCGCAACAGCTGAACTGAATAGATCGATCGATCAAATGAATCGAAAACAATCGCTCCATCTTACCAGTGTCTGTGCAAGATCGATGGCGGCCGTGAACTGCTCTTGTCCGGCCACGCCGTAGTTGGCCTGAAGGACTCTGACCAGCTCCTCGGGGACGATGCCCAAACCCAGACACTGCGGCCAGATCCAGGCGATCCCGTACAGAGCGCTTTCGGCCACCAGCACCAACAGGACCAAAAGGAAATACTGTAAAACGTATGATTTCTTTGAGAAACACGTATTTCGAGCATTACATGTCTTTACAATAGTCAGCGTGCAGAAGCTGTAGAGGCACGAGGCCCAACATCCGAGGACTCCGGCGCACGCCAGGATCAATCCGGCCAATGCGAAGCCTACAGCGAGGTAATAGAGTAGCGGATGGGGGAGGGTGGTGAGAGGACCTTGAGATAACAATCTCGAGAGAAGCACTCTTCCTGGATCCAGTAGGATCACTGAGCCGCCTGTGATTAAAACGCATCCGCAAGCCTAAAACAAACGAAACAAACATTGACGTTCACACTATAGTGATTTTCAAACTATAATAGATAGAGTTGATCTAAAAGTTGCTCATGAATCTAACATTGAATGTTGTTGAGCTGTTGAGAAAAAGCAATGTTTTCACATTTCATTGAAAACCGAAAGATGTATATAGCGAATATTGAAAATATGTATTATCTTACCAAGAGGAGGAAGTTGGTGAAGGCCAGTAAGGCTTTGCTTCCTATCAGGGAAACCATAATGATAATCGTTGAAAGATGAACGAAACAGAAAACTCTTGCCACTAATTGAAGATTCACATGTCTGTTTGCAAATCGTAAACCGAATTGAATAAATTACAAAAATACATGATGGGAAATATCGTTCGGAAACCGTTCACTTTTGGCGATTGTTCTTTCTCAATGGTAAATTGATCATTGAAGAGTTTGAGATCGTTGAATGTGTGTTGAATTTAACTTGTTTTTGCAGTGTCGCTGCGTACAATGTTTGCCGATGGATGGATTTTACGTGTGTGGGCAGAGAGCATCAGACAGGAAGGAAATTGCAATTAGCAGAGCATGAAGAGAAGGCGCGCAAAGTGGGGTGGCTATGATGTACGTGTGCCGATGAGGAATGAACGGTGCGTAGCGCGCCAACAATAGACCTGAAAAGAGAAAACCAATTCTTCCATTATATTCAATTTTCACTGTGCTCGTCTCTCTTTATTACACTTCTTCTTTTCGAATTCCTGACGCACACTTGCTGCATGCACTTAAACTCGTTTCGATAACTAGACCAGATTAGACACCTTCCTTCTTCCTGCAATCCATCAATTCACCTGTAAACTTCAACCTGCATTCTTTTCACATTACAAATCCAATGAATTACACCGATTTCATGAAGAGACGACGAACATTCAATTAAAACTTTACACAGTTCGTTTCAATTCAAACGCAAAAGCATAATTGATTCGCCCATGGACGCACTGAAATTATAACAACATAATAATTAGCAACGACGCGTTTAAAGTTCAAGATTACAATTAATTAAAATGCAAATCATTTTAACAAAAACTTAATTACAATAATTTAAATTCAAATGACTTTTATCAATTCATATATTTGCTAGCAGATGGCGGTTGTACAATAAATTAGAAATCGATAGAATGGTGAATTACACATTTTTAATATGATGAAATTAACAAATTGTTGTAATTAAATATGTAATTGCGACTGGACAGCGACAAAACGTTAACTAATGAATAGCTGTTGTTCGTTTCTCAGCTAAAGTCATCTATCGGTGAGACCTGAAAACTTATAGTTGAGTCATTTTAACGCTGTTTAATGTTCGCATTTCTTATTCGATCAACAAATTAATTAAAACGTTCTTCATCGATTTACAATTGTACAAACAACGTGTTGATTGGTTGCTAATCGATTGAATAATTATACCTGTTCAGCGACATCGGTTGCATAACTGATTTTAAATATTTCAAGCTATACTACCCTCTTTACATTATATTTTTTTATTGTAAAATTTTGAAAATCTTTATTGTCCAAATTAAAAAACAATGATTGAGTAGAGTTAAAATTGTGTATTATTATTATTAGTTTTGTTGTTGAGTTATTATTTTCTTTACGGTGATCGATAAATTACAGAATATCTTTGTTTTCGTTTCGATAGAAGATGATTATTATATCAACATTCACAGAGGTAAAGTACAACGTGGGTATCTCCTATTAAATATTTACAGAGCTTTTATTAGGACGATGTCATAAATTATCTAGTTTGCACAAGTGCGTATGCATTATTTTACTTCCTGTACCACATCTGTATTGTGTTCATTCGCTTAATTTTCTTCTGCAGCTGCAGAACTCCGTACATGAGGGCTTCCGCCGTCGGTGGACAACCGGGCACGTAAATGTCCACGGGGATAATCCTATCGCAACCTCTGAAAAATGCGTATTTTTTTTTGCCATTAAATTTGCTTCTTCCTAAGAGAAACAAATATTTACCTCACAACAGAGTAGGAATAATGGTAGTAGCCACCGCCGTTGGCGCAGGAACCCATGGAAATAACCCATCTCGGTTCTGGCATTTGATCATAAACTTTCCTCAGAGCCGGTGCCATTTTATTGGTAACAGTTCCAGCAACGATGATAACATCGGCTTGCCTGGGGGAAGCTCTGAACACCACTCCATACCTAAAATATCAACAATTACTCATCAGATGCCAGCAATGTTTTGGTTCTGTTCACCTGTCCATGTCATATCTGGGGGCGGCGATGTGCATCATCTCCACGGCGCAGCAGGCCAGACCGAAGGTCATTGGCCACATGGAGCTCTTTCTGCCCCAATTGAGAAGATCGTCCAATCGAGCCATGGTGTATTCAGCCATGTTGCTGGTCTTTTGGAACGGGGAGTAGGGTTTGTACTCTGATTTCACTGCAGCTTTCGTAGACTGCTCCCTCTTGGCCAAGCCTGCGATGCTGCTGCCATTGCACAGGGCTTTGATGGCATTGCTCACGGCCAGATTCTGGGTACACGGCACCAACGCTGAGCGCAACATCTGCAAAAACAATCGCTGAACGAGTTAGCACCGCACAAACTTCACCTATCCTGTCATATAAGTTGGGTTAGGAGAAAAGTCACCTTGAACCAAGTTTTCGGCAAACGCAGGTGGATTCGAGGACGGAAAATGGAAAGGGCTGAATCAGAACACGTGCGGGGATCAAAAACAGGTAAATTTACCTTGCTTAGCTCTATTCTTGCACTTAAAATTGACGTTTTATAGGTGATATTTACGTAATAAACACAGCCGCAGAACCAGGGATTTTCTGGGCCGAAATGTTGGCTGCATTGAATGGATGGTCACCATGCAAAGCAGGCATTTTTCATCCCTACCACCACCGACGTATTCGTTTCGTTCTTCTTCTGTTACGAATCGTTACGAATTGGTTAAATGTTACTAGAAAAAAGAAGTTTAGTTAAAAGTAAGTTATAAGTGGATTCATCGAGAAACGACGAGTCTCTCGAATTGGAGAAGACGATTGTTTCCATCAAAGTCGGAGCGGCTAGAAAGATGTAAGTATTATTATTGTGTTTGTATTGAATGAGGTTACGTTTTGTTCGAGGCGTTAGTACAAGCGTTGTTTTTGTTTTTGTGCAGGGCCAAGTCGAAAACTCGTTCAGAATCTGAAGGAGAGGACAAGGAGAAGAAGCAGGAAAGGGGCAGAGATAGGAAGAAGAAAACCGACTCGAGCAGCAGTGACAGTGATAGTGGAAGGTAAATTAATTAATTTTATATAATTACTTCTTTTGGAATTAATTTTAATATTCGGTTATAGTTCATCTGACAGTAGTTCTTCGAGTGATTCACCATCATCAAGCTCTTCAAGTTCTGGCTCCAGTTCAAGGTCCAGCAGTTCCTCATCGGACAGCTCCTCGTCGAGCAGTGAGAGAACTAGGTCCAGACCTAAGCGTAGGTCCAGGTCTAACAGCAAGGCAAATCGCAAAAGCAAAGAGAAGAAAGACAAGGATTTGAGCAAGAGTAAGGACAAGGATGATAAGGATGGCAAAGAGAAGATTGAGAAGGAGAAGGATGGAAAGGATAAGAGGAAGTCGACTGACGTGAAGGACGAGCCGGGCAAGGGTAAATCCAGGTCGAGATCTCGTTCGCAGCGAAAGAAGCGCCGTCGCAGGTCGCCGACCCCGAGACCGACGAAGATCCACATCGGTCGATTGACGCGCACCATCAACAAGGAGCACATCACCGAGATATTCGCCACGTACGGCGTCATCAAGAACGTCGAGTTCCCGCGTGATCACGTGCACGGCAACTTGGGACGCGGCTACTGCTACGTCGAGTTCGACACCGCCGACGAGGCGGAGAATGCCATGAAGCACATGGACGGCGGTCAGATCGACGGACAGGAGATAACTGCTGCTCCCGTGCTGATGCCCAAACCGCGACCTCCACCACCGAGACGCAGTCCGCCTCCGATGCACATGCGGCGTCAACCGATGCATCATCGCCGCACTCCGCCCCGCTTCAGGAGGCGCTCGCCGCTGAGACCGCCCCGTCGCAGTCCTCCACGTCGTCGTCCGCACTCTCGCAGCCCACCGCCGCGTCGCAGGAAGCACAGCAGGAGTAGCTCTAGTAGCTCCAGATGAGACGAGGCCCCCTATTATCACAAATTCAAGCAGAAGTTTAGTTTCTATTGATGAAACTAATTAATGACCGATATATTTCATAATTACTATTAAGATGTTTTTTTTTTCTCTTCATATATATATATTATTAGTATATGTGTGCACCCATTCTTCCTGTAAATATTAGTTTTGTAATGCAATGAAAAATCTACGTGTCTAAACTAATAGTCGAGTAGAGATTATATAAATTGAATTTAGTGTATAGTAAAAGCACACTTGATTGATGTATTTTCTCGTAATTTATATAGAGAATTGATGTCAAAATATCTAAATGCATTCGAAAAGTAATTAAATTAGTTTGTTACATTACATAACTTGATAGCTTACAGATTGGAGAAGAAATATAGAAATTAATTAATCTTAAAACTGTATGATTTCAAACGTATTTAAGATTATAACAAAAGAAATAAAAATGTGTGTTTTCTTTCTAATTTTGGTCTTTTCTTTACTTCTTTTAAAATTAAAACAGTTTGTTGAGTGGGATGTGGAAATGAAGAGAGCGCTCTGCTTTTTGTTTTATATGACTAAATGTTTCTAGTATATAGAAACAATATTTGTATTTTTTTTTAATTTATATATTACAATCACTGATTCTCACGAATCATACACATATAAAATGGTCTGCTAGCGCTTTAGGGGGGGGCGGTGGTGGTAGAAGGGATGGTTTTGAAGATTTCTTTTGTTTTATTAGGGGGTGGGGGTGGGAGGAGGAGACACTAATCTTTATCTTCTCTTCGGTCGTTGATGATGGGAAGAAGGGTTGTGTTTGTTTGAATGTTTCCAAGGGAGAAGAGAGAAACTCTCGTACGTACAAATATAACATATTATCATCAAGTACAATATCTACAAAGACAAGAGGCTTTTCTTCGAATTATTATCTACACGCGCGCGCTTACTTAGTTTTCTTTGTTTGTTTCCCCTTTCATTCGCTCAGCTACCAACCAACCAACACACTCGAATCTCATAAACTTTCTCACTCTCTCTCTCTCTCTCTTTCTCTGCTATATCAATCCGCATTTCCCTTCTTCATCGTGCATTGACAGAAGAAAAACTAGAATGTACACTGCATGCATACCACGCAAGTTACGCTACTTTCGTCGTTGAGATTATCTCCATCCCTCCCACCATCTCTGAACAAAATTATAAAATAAAAACTCGTTGTCACAAAAATCAATTGATTCGTTTAGAATCAAGAAAGAACGCATAAGTGTAAATAACAATAATGTGTGAATTCCTCCCGTGGTCCTCCTCAAATATATACAATATTTGCTTTATATTTCGCCAAATTCAAAAGTTTTAAGTACACAAGTCGAGAACATTTTAGAATCGCTACAAAGTAACAACAAAAAAAAAGAAAAGAAAACCGAAAAGAAAAATGTATATATAATGTATATCTACAATCGCTTCGAACTTCATAATATAATAATATATATATAATAATAATAAATTACAATGAATAAATAATCAACATTAATTCTAAAACGTTCTTAATACAGTAATTTACAAAATAATAAAGTAAACAAAAAAGAAATGCATCTTTTGTACACGAAAGAAAGTGAAATTTTTAGCGTTGTTGTTTTGTTACTTTCTTCTTAATCTTGAGAAGATTGCTTTTGTACATTTTTTGTTTTTTTTTTGTACAATGAAATGTGGGGTGGGTGGGTTTTGCGTTTTATTCGATTAATATTTAATTTCTTTTCGTTATGAATAAATAAAATAATGCTCTGAGATTATTATTGTTATTGGTGGTGGTGGTTGGTATGCATGCACAAAGCACACTTGAACAAACGACAAATTGAAAGAAACATTATAATATAAAACAAACGAAAAATAAATAAGTCTAATTCATATATATATATATAAAAATATATATATATGTTTGTTTTTTTTTTGTATATATATAAATTATATAATTACGCTATAAATTAAATAGTTAAAACGAAGTAAAAATAATGAGCACTATATATGTGTATATATATATATATTATATATATATTTATAATTAAGATAAATAAAAAAAAAAAGAAGTTTAAAACTCGGCAGTCTTGATTAAACGAATCAAATAAATTAATTTTGTTTGTTGGGAATCGTTATTGTTACGCGGTCTTTTCATCATCCAGCCACAACAACAAGCTCGAATTCTCTCTTTCTATAAATCTCTCTCTCTCTCTCTCTAAATATGTGTGTGTGTGTGTTTTTTTTATATGTATTGTTTCACATTTTTTGCTTTCTTTGTTTATTTATTTCCCAATCAAATATCGTAGTAGTAGTAGTAGTAGGTAGTTATAGTAGTATGTATACTATGTACATTCGCATGAGAAGAGAAGCCCACTGAAATAGATGCTTCGTCAATTATTTGAGTTTTGTTACAATAAATAAATAGACGGAAACGGTGGGGTTTCTTTGGGGGGTGTGGGGAGGGTGGACGGTGATTAAATCAAAATGGTCGTGTTTGTAAATCTATTTACTCTTTTGCACAGAAAGTCGTAACAAACGTATTCTTTGTTGCAAGTTTTCATACAGACGATGATGAACTGTGTGTGTGTACGTGTATTATTCATTCATCGGTATGAAATATTGCACTTTTGCTTGTTGTTAAGACGTTTTGCTACAATTCGAGTAAAAGTAAATCATAACAATTAAAGAAATTAATCAGATCTCCCTCCTGCTGTTCAGACAACACCTAATCCAACCCCAATCACACCCCCATGGCCACCGTTTCACTTTGAACACAATCGAGTGGAAGCATGACATTTCAGTGTTGCCGTCGCCGAATCAATCGCACGCACACACACACGCACGCAGCCGCACATGCACCACACACGCTTAAAATTACATAATTACAAGTCTTTAAAGTCATTTCCTCGAAATGTCCTTTTCATCCTCCTCAAACTCTATTTCCTCTTTATCAACTTCTTAGACGCAACACAAACAACACACTCGTCGTTGCTGCTGCTGCTGTCAACATAATCGTATGTTGTGGTCATCATCATCATCTTTCCCATGGGATTAAATCACTAGCTGAGATCGACGAAGAATTCGGTGGTGGCACGTAGTCAGATTGGGGGCGCGCCCGGCCCTGCCTCCAGCCTTCTGCGCCCGGAAGGCGGTCCCGGCACCTGCCCCGCCCTTAGCTATCGCGGCTCCTCCTTCTTGTGCAGGTCGGTGGGTGGGGTGGCGCACATTTTGTGTTGCTGAGATTGCTGCGGTGGGCCGGGACCGGGTCGAAGATGCATCAGACCCGGATCCTTGGTGCGCAACTGATGCGACGGGTGACCGTACGTGTTGAACATCTTCATCCGCTCCTCGTCCGCTCGCATCGCCACCTCCAGCGGATTGTAACGCAACGGATCGTAGCGGTAGAAGGCGTCGTGAGGGGGCGGCGGTGGCCAATGAGATGCGGGCGGCGGATAGTGATGCGGGAGGACTCGTTGCAACGCGTGCGGCGGTCCCGGCCTCAAGTACGGATGGTATCTGGGATCCGCCGCCGCCGCCGTCCTCAGCATGTTGGTCACTTCGTCCTCCTTGGAGCGCGGCTCCTCCTTGATCCTGATCTCGCCCATATCGCCGCCGTTCCTCATCGGCGACCGGTCTCGCATCACCGACTGCATTGGTTTCGCCGATTCGACGAGCCTCTGCTGATGGAGCATTCGTTCTCTTTCCCTCTGCTGCTCCATTTCGCGCCGCTCCTTCTCCCGTCTCTCTCTCTCCCTCTGCTCGGCGGCCTGCTACAATATTACATATTCAATCAATTACATATATAATAATGTTACCGATTGCTTACCTGTTGTTGTTCCAATCTTCGTTTCTCCTCTCGCTCTCGTTCTCGCCTCTCCCGATCCTCTCGTTCACGCCGCAACCGCTCCCTTTCCTCTCGCTCCCTCTGCTCGAGCAGTGGATCCGGCTTCATGGCCCACTGATGCGGAGGCATCGCCGGCTGCATATTGGGCGGATAGTTGCGGCGCCAGGGATCGTGCAGCAGGGGCGGCAACTCGTTGGGCCGCCCTGCAGCTGAAGGAGGGAACGGCGAGACGGAGAACGGCGAAGAGCCCGGGCCACCGCCAAATCCGGGAGGACCACCTCCACCGTACCTGGTGAACGGGGACATCGCATTGCCGGCGGACGATTCCATTTTCGGCAGATGATGGAAACCGGTCGTCCTAAAGGATGATGCCGGTTTACCGCCGAGACTGTGCGCAGCGGGAGACGTGAAGAGACTGCCCGGATGCGGTGATTGGTCGAAGGAGGGCGGCGGCAGAGACGGTTGCTGCTGCTGCTGCCGATGATGACCGAGCGGTGGACCGAATGTCGGCGTCATCTCGTGCGAGCGAACGCTGGGGTTGAAGAGGTGCGTCGGCGGTCGCAGTAGGTCACCCTTTAGTGCACCGGGTCCACCCTTGTCGCCCTTGTGCTGATGATGGTAAATCTCCCAAGCGACACGAACGTGCATCGCATTCCATTTGCCGGATTTCTAAAACAAATTGCACAAAAACAATTGTTCAATATACATAGAAAATGGAAGACGTCCAGACCAATTGTTATTATTATTTATAATCAAGTAGAACAGAACAGAAAAGCTAAGCGCTGTTTTTGAGGGCAGGTTGGGGGCTGGATGGATGTTTATGGGGTTAAGATGATGATGTGAATATAGTTGTTATGATGTTACGTACCGTTATTTTAGGCTTAGCTGGTTGATCGGCAGTAGTCGGCTGTGGACACACACAAAAAACAATGTATTAGGGGCGAGCGGGTAGTGGGGGCGATAGTAGTAGAGCATGCCACAGTTAGTGCAAGCATGCAAACATTCATATGTATATAGATAATATATGATTGCTTGGTGATTGTAGTAGTAGTAGTAGTAGTAATTAATGAGATGACACACGTAGCATGATTATGAAAAACACCAGAGATATAAAAGGTAGATGTAACGGCTGCAAATATTATTCGTACCTTGGGTTGAAAGGCAGGCAGATGACTGGGCGGGACGAAAGGCGTTGGTCCCGTGAGGCCAGGATGCAAAAGGCTCGGCGTGTAGCCGGTATACGTGGGTGGCATTCCGATGTTTTGCCTGTAAAACGGCGACTCGTGGCTGCCCAGTTTAGGAATATCCTTGAACTGCTGCCGAAAATCAAACGGTTAACGGTTAAACGATGTTGTCGATGATGATGATGTCGTCGATTCTTAACTTACAAGTGGTGATGGAAATAGAGTTGAGGTTGGTGGTGGAGGAAGCAGTGAGGTGGTGTGCTGATGCACGTGTGTGTGGTGGTGCTGGTGTTGATGCATCTCGGTTCGCAGGTAGGGCGGTGGCGGAGGTCCGACCACGTTCATCGTCCTGCTGTCCTGCGACGCCAGAAATCTACTGTCCAGCTCCCGTCGCAGCATGTCCGCCTGATTGGAGGTCTGGAAGAGACTTTCCGCCGAGAATGGATTCGGATTTGTGGGTGGAGGCGGTGGTGGCTGCTGCTGCTGCTGTTGTTGCTGCTGTTGCTGTTGGTGTTGCTGTTGGTGTTGTTGTGGTGGTGGTACAGTGGGGCTGGCGCGCGACACAACCGTCGGCGGTGGCATCGGCGCCGCAAACATCGTCGCAAACGAAGGACCCGCGTGAAGCGGTGGCGTGGGACGCGATGCCACCGCCGCAGGACTCAGCTGAGGTGGCGGACCAACACCGCTCGGCCACGGTTTGCTGCTCAGACTAGAAGACACGGTGGTGTTGTTGGTTGCATGCGGCGGAGGCGGTGGGCAACTCATAGGTGTTACATTCGTCCTGCTCACGATGCTGCTGCTGCTGCTGCAAACACACAATCGGTTATATTGAATAACATAAGATTGCTTTTCATCGTACCTGTAGGTATCCCTGTGGTGATGATCCATGCTCGGCGAATGACTGATGGGAGTGCTACTTCGGATGGATGGGACGGCGGAGGCGGTGACTGTGGTGGCCGTCGGCGCCGTCGTTGGTAATAGGGTGGTGGTGGTGGGAAGTGTTGCCGCAGAGTACGGCGTGTGCACGTTGGCTGCTGCGTACGGGGCGTACAGGGGTTGGTAAGGTGGATGGTAGCCTGGAGCCGAAGTGGCGACGGCCGGGCTGTCCGTTCGTGCGTGATTCGTGGCCGTGCCACCGCCTCCTGGTGCAGATGGGCCGAGACCGGGTGGATGGTGGACGACGGGTGCCGCCGCTACAGCCGCCTGCGGCATCGACATTGACATCGGCAGATGCGAAGATGATGCCGACGCGGATGCTAACGAGGATGAGGCGGAGGCGGACGAGGAGCAGGATGCTATGATCGAGGATGAGGCGGCCGAAGCTGCCGAGGATAGGAGAGGCGGTGGCGGTGGTTTGCAGTGAAGCAGCGGCGACGGCGGCGGAGGTGGAGCGATTGCTGCTGGCGCCGGCGACGGCATGCTGCCTCCTCCGGGCGTCACCGTCATGCTGCTTGTCGCTGTTGCTGCGGCGATGGTCGGTGGAGGCGGCAGCAGCAGCAGTCGTTGATGTTGTTGCTGCTGCTGATGTTGATGATGATGATGTTGTTGTTGTTGTTTATCCTCGCCGATGATCACATGACGAGGCACTGGTGGCGGCGGTGGCAGATGGGCGGACGGCGCCAGGTGACTTGGGGCTGGCAGATCGGGGGCCGTCGGCGCCGGCACCGGACTGCTGCTCGCCGCTGTATTGAGGGATGGTAGACCAGGGGGCAGCAGTGCGCCGGGAAATTCGTGCTTCCTCGATCCCGGCGTCGAACCAAATATCACCGAACTCGCGTCGGAACCCTACAAAACAAAAACAAAAAAACAAAATATTAGTTTTAAAAATTATATCAACTACAACGTTCAATTACTGATACAATTAGTATCATAAGTCATTGTTATTTAACACACAAAATTTGGGTTTGAAAATATTTGTAGATCTCCAGCGTACCAGTTTTTAAGGTATTATTGATTTCATCAAGATACATTTTCTGCTCCTTCTAATCATTTACATTCCACCAAACTCCCCAAAAATGGGTAGATATGAAGAGAAATTCATAAATATGGTAAAAATTGCCCATCTTAGATATAAACCAATACGTTTTACGAAGGGGATTGGCGCTCGAATCGTGTGATTAGAGCACTTGCGACAAAAGAGTGTTGGTTCGCTGCTGGATAATCTTGGATGTAGTGGAGGAGATTATGAAATTACAGCAAGAACTCGGACCAAAGAACCTATCATCCTCCTCGTCGCCAACATTCTTCTTGCAAATAGATGCAGAGAGTGCTGAAAGCGATTTTGTTTTACTGTTGTTGATGATGTAAGCATCTTCTGCTATCACCATCAACAACAGTACTGGCAGTTCGGCGGACCTGCATCTTGCACATAGCGCAGATTATCGATTGCGACGGCCCCTTTTTAATTGCGCCGACTCCTAGACTGCTGCCTCCGCCATACCGCGTACTGTATTTCTGTATGTATGCATACATACATACACATATACATTCCACCTTTTATGTGTAACGCCAACATCCGACTCGCTACATAAATATTTAAATGTGCACCTGATATCGATATATTCGCCGCCGCCGCCGCCACACTAAAACCCCTGCAACCATACATCCACCAACGCATACATAAACACACACACAAATACCGCACAAACCAACAACCAATAAACAGCAGCGCATGTTGCATGCTCCCACCCCATTTATACAAACATAATCTTCTCGTTTTTTTTTTTTAATTTTCATTTGTGTTTTTTTTTACATATATACATTTTCCTTACGCTTATATTCTAGCCTACGCCCGCGTTAACGTTACGTACGCAAATTGGGCGAAACAATAATGAACACACACATAAAAAAAATAAAATAGAAACGACAAAAGAAACGTCATTAAATAAATCATCCCCTCGCGGCAACACCGTAAAACAACAATCAACAGCAACGAGGGGATGGATGGTAACGTAGCCCAAAAAAAAATGCGCATCGAAACAATTGCGATTAATCTCTCTTCTCTGCGCGCATACAAAAAAAAGTAAACGTAAATCCCCCGCGCATCCCCCATTTCATAATTCACATAAATAAAAACGAGAGAAAAAATAAACGTCGAGCCGTAAATTTAATTGCGAATAAAAAGGCTACAATTACTTTGCGAAACATTACCACAGCCTCCTTCTTCGTTCACCCCAAATTTTCATTCAATTTTTTTTGTTGTTGTTTCCTTTATAAAATTGGAAATGCTGATATATTGCTTCTACGCAAGTCAAAGTATTTTGACAATTTGGGCAAGTACTTGGTATTATGTACTGAACGCATTATCGTTTTTTGTTGTTGTTTCCTTTACAAAATTGGAAATGCTTCTACGCAAGTCAAAGTATTTTGACAATTTGGGCAAGTACTTGGTATTATGTACTGAACGCATTATCGTTTTTTGTTGTTGTTTCCTTTAAAAATTGGAAATGCTGATATATTGCTTTACGCAAGTCAAAGTATTTTGACAATTTGGGCAAGTACTTGGTATTATGTACTGAACGCATTATCGTTTTTTGTTGTTGTTTCCTTTATAAAATTGGAAATGCTGATATATTGCTTCTACGCAAGTCAAAGTATTTTGACAATTTGGGCAAGTACTTGGTATTATGTACTGAACGCATTATCGTTTTTTGTTGT